CCTCCTCCTCCTCCTCCTCCTCCTCCTCTTCCTCCCTCCCCCGGAGCTCGGCGCGGGGGTGTGAAGCTCCCGTCGGCTCGGATGGAGGTGCGAGCGCCTAAATCTTTCTATTTCCACCCAAAAAAAACGCGTGCGGAGCCGTGCGGAGAGGAGAGGAGGAGGGAGGGAAATTAAATAAAAATTAATAATAATGATAAAAAAGTTAATTACTGCTGTTGGGTAAAGTTTAACCCCTCGCGCCTGCGAGTGGTTCTGAAATGTTCGGGTGCTCCGGCTCGGGGTTGAATGGAAAATAATGGGGGGAAAAAGTGAAATTAAAAGTTTTTCGTGCCAAGTTTGCCGGGGGGGGAGATCCCGAGGCGCTGCCGGGGTTGGCTTCGCTCTCCTCCAAAAAAAAAATCGCATTTTTGGACAACTCCACTGGCTCCGCGCTCCGTTAATTACCGTCAATTAACGCCCGGCAAAGCTGGAGCGCAAGCTCCGCTCTGCCTCCGCCGCCTCTCCGCGCTTTTCCGCAAAAGCTCCGCGTTCCGGGAGATGAAGGGAAAACCCAAATATTCCCTTTTTTCCCTCGGGTTAGAGCCCGCTCTCCTCCGCCGGCCCGCACCGCATTGTGCCCTCTTGCGTTTTTTTGTCAATTCCGGCTCCGCTCCCGACCTTTTATGGCCAAAAGCGGCGCCTGGGATTAGGGGGAAAAGCGGAATTTTTCGATCCGGAGCTGCCGGGGGGCGCGGGGAGAGCGGAGCTGAGGCTCTGCCGGTGCCTGGAGGCTCCGCGTCCCCCCCTTCCAGCCCGTCCCAAGCCCCAAAAAACACCGATTTTTGCCGATTTTAACCCGTTCAAAAGGTGACTCCGTCACCCTCAAAGCTTCGCTTTGCCTCGGTTTATTTTCTTTAAATTTTAAATTTTTTTTTAATCTGTTTTTTTTTTTTTTGCTGTCGGGATTTCCTCTCTTGGTTCTACCTGAGCATCCCCCCCTCTCCTCCCCAAGCTCCTCAAGGTGGGGTTAAATCTCTTCTCGCCGCTTTTTCCTTTTCTCTTTTGGCTTCTCAAGGGGGAAAATCAGCAGAAAGACACCGCCACCCCCCCAAAAAAAAATTAAAAAAAAAAGAAAAATATTTAAAAAGTGAAAGAAAATCCACCTAAACTGACCCCAGCACCATCCCCTGGATCAGTTTTATCAAGGGCTCGTTTCCTGTCCGAATTTGTAACCATCTGCCTGTCGGGGGCTCGAAATACCTCGAAATCTGCCAAAAATCCTGCTGGCCACAAATCTAGAATTACAAATCTTCCGCGGCGGAGCGGAAAAAATAAAAAAATAAAAAAATAAAATTAAAAAAAATTAAAAAAAATTAAAAAAATTTAAAAAAATTAAAAAAAATTAAAAAAAAATTAAAAAAGATTTAAAAAAATTAAAAAAAAATTAAAAAAAATTAAAAAAAAAAATAAAAGCGGGGTCTTATTACGAGTTAATTTATTTTAAACATCGTGTTTACAGCAGCCGAGCCAAGATCGTTCCGTGCCGCCGCCGCCAACATCTCGGGCCGCGATCCCGAGAATTCAAGGAAATAACAGGCGGAGGAAATCGTTTTCCATCCTCCACCCCTCCTCCTCCTCCTCCTCCTCCCTCCTTGACCGATATCTCTGATTTTTGTTCTCGCAGAGTTTCCCTTTTGTGCGAGGAACGGAGGCGAAGTTGCGAGGGGGGGGGAAAAAAATTTTAATTAAAAAAAAAAAGTGAAAAATTAAAATTTAATTAAATAAAAGGTGTTGGGAGGCAGCGATGAGTAAGAGAAGGGAGGAGGGAGGTCAAAAAAAAGAGGGGAAAAAGCTGAGATAAGAGGTTGAGTTACGCAATTTTGGTGGCTCTGCAAAAAGCCGGAGATTATCAGGCTCGAGCAGCCCCGCATGTAAATGTTGTTGTTTTTTTTTGGGGCAGAGAAATGGGATATCCTGCGAGCCCAGCTCAGCCGGAAAAAAAATAAAATAATAAATGTTTGCCCTCGTGTTTTTTCCGCTAATAAATCCCTCGAAATAGTTTGGGGAAAAGCACCAAAAAAAAATTAAAATAGATTTTTAAAAGAAAAATAATAATAATAATAATTTAAAAAATCTCGTAGCCGCTGCTGGTTGTAATAATTTGTGGTTCTTTGAAGAGTTTGGACGATTCTGGGTTTTAAAAGATGATTTAAAAACGCACTAATTAAAGCTGGCCGCTCGTTAATTGCGCCTTGGTGACGCCTCTGGAAATTAAAAAAAAAATCTTTTTGCCTA